ACTATCTATCATCTATCTATCTATCTATCTATCTATCTATCTATCTATCTATCTATCTATCTATCTATCTATCTATCTATCTATCTATCTATCTATCTATCTATCTATCTAATCTATCTGCTTTTATAAAAAAGAAGATAAACTGGGCATGGGGTACAGGCCTGTAGTCCCAGCTACCCAGGATGCTGAGGTGGGAGGATTGCAAGTTCAAAGTCATCTTGGGCAACTTAGTGAAACCCTACCTCAAAATAAAAAAGTTTATAAACAGGCTAGGATACAACTCAGTGGAGTGTGCTTGCTTAGCATATGTGAAGACCTGGGCTTGATCCTCAGTGTTGCCCAAAACAACAACAACAGCAACAAAGTTGTACAGATAAAATTTGCTTAAGATGATAGTGCTAACAAAAGAGACACATTTATGTGCCCTAATAATACTCAAATTTTTTAATTCAAATTTTGTTTATAACAATGATTTGTTTAAAGAAAATCAAATTGTGGTCATTTTCACTATGAAATTAAATGATTTTGTGATTCAAATGTATTAGCAAGTTATATCAAACTAACGGCATTGAGAGGTGGGACCTTTAAAGGCAGATTAGATCATGAGAATTACTCTCCTTGTGGCCCCAGTTGACTTGGAATTCTTTATGTACATCAGGGCTGGCCTTGTACTCAGAGAGATTAACTTGCCTCTGCCTCCCGAGTACTGAAATTACCACACACAGCATGAAAACTACTTTTAGTGGGCAGCGACAACTGATAAAAATTAGTTTGGTTCTCTCTCCTATTTTGCACTCACAAGTTCTCTTGTCCATCTGCCTTCCTTCCCCCATGAGATGAGACAGTAAGCAGGCCCTTGCCCATGAGGACCCCTCCACCTTGGGTTTCTCCACTTCTAAAACCACTAATCAGATAAAATTCTGCCATTATAGATTACCTGTCTATGGCATTCTGTTATAGCAGCTTATAAAAAAACATGGCAGCTTGGTTGCTGAATGTCCCCCCAGAGACTGTTATTGGAAGATGATAGAACCTTTGTGAAGTGGGGCCTGGGAGGAGGTCCTTAAGTCACTGAGGTGTGCCATTGAGGTGGGTTGTAGGATACTGTCTCTGCCTCTTTCTCTTTGCTTTCTGATTCATGATCTAAGTCTTTCATTTTGCCACATGCTTCCACCACAATATACTGTTCTTACCCAGAGGCCCAAAGCCCAGATGGGGTTATGAGGATTTCACTCTCAAGTAAGAGTTGAGGCTTTTTGTGAAAAGGTGGGCTGTGGATGAATGGAGGAAGAACGCTGCCAGACATTAAATATAATCTATGCCATTCTGTCTCTTGAACATAAACTCAATGAGCCAATGAAAGCGTCATTAAGGTACAAATCTGAATTATAGAATGATAGGAGACAGTAAGAGTTAAAAATCATTTCCCAGAGAAAGAAAAATTCCACTCCATTTCCTCAAATAAATATTTTATTATCAATATCATAAATACCTTCATGAATCATGATAGCTAATTCATACACCATTAGTCTTCCTACATCTAAACACAACATTGTCACAAATAATAACCTGATAGGTTAGTGAAACATTTGGGGAGTTCTGAGAACTTATGAGGTTTACAAACTGCAGAGTTTCTAGCAATAAAAACACTGAGAGAAGGGTAAAAAAATGACCTTGTAGAAGAAAGAGTGATTGAATAGACGATTTCCTTAACCAGAAATGAAGGTAGGGTGTGAGAGCCGAAGATACCAAGATGCTTACGGAAAGGTCAGATCCATTTAGCACGCAAGAACCACTTATTATCGCTGTACTGAGCACATAAATTTGTGTTCAAGCCCATTTTCTAAGGCAGACATTTAATGAGTTTAGGGAACGTTGGGTGAAAGATGGATGAACCATAAATACTACTTACTTAAAAAGAAGGCAGCAAAAATAAAAAGGAAAAAAAAAATCCAAAGACTATAGGTTAAAGAAAGGAGATTTTGGAAAGCAGTTAGGTCATGTTATATCATTTAATGTAAGAGTGAGTCTCTCTACGACTCAGTTTACAGGTTTAGGGACTGGCACTTAGCTCAGTGGTAGATTATTTGCTCAGCATGCATCAGGCTCTGGGCTAGATTCCTAACACAAAGAGGTTAAAAGAAAAAGGAACAAAAAATTGCAGGTCAAATGAAGAAACTAACCTGATATTGCTGCTCATAGGATTGCTATGTAAGTTCAGGAAAGGACAAATGACTTCCCAGGACATGTCTTAGAAAAGGATATCATCCTGGCAGTTATAGGGTAAGTGGAATTCTCAGAAATGGGGTCTCTTGAAAAGGACTATGTAACAGAGTTTGGGGTAACTTACAGAGTTTACTTAAAATTGATACTAGGAGACAGGGATTCCTGTGTATTAGGGAATCTTAAACCTGTTTCTACTAGTCAATGATTATTAAACATATATTGATTTCAAATTGCTTGAGTATGTTATAAAACTATTAGGAATGATTATATACAGATACATATTTTTATTATTTTTATTTTAAGTGTATGAATGTATTGCCTACATGTGTGTAAGCACACCCATGTCGGGCAATGCCTGCAAAGGTCAGAAGAGGATGTCAGATTTCCTGGAACTGGAGTTACAGATGGTTGTTAGCTGCCATGTGGGTGCTGGGAATCAAACCCAGGTCCTTTGCAAGAACAGCCAGTGCTCTTATCTCCTGTTAACAGTCACTTCTGTGTATACAACTGTACACACACACACACACACAGACCCCACACACACACTATTCACACATGCTTATAGATTATTAGTACACTATTAATTAGTCTCTGTCTGTATCACTTTAACTAGCACCTAGCTTTGATAACAGTGCCTGACACATAAGTGTTCAATATTAGTTTGCGAGCAAATAAATTAATAATAGTAATAAATGATGCATCACAAACTTTACTCGGAGAATTTTTTTCCTGGTTAAAGTTAGGCACCAAGAGTATTCATTCACTAAAATTCAGCAGCATGTTCTAGAGATTTCCCCTCCACATGGAAGTGTCTCTATTTACTTAAGATACTAAGAATGGCTATATTTTATAAGTATTGCTGCCTTTGTATGGATTGATGATTCAAAAAGTAACTTAATTTCCCAAACCGAAGAAAATATACAACTCTATACATAAATTTTGGCACAATTTAGAAGAAAGCTAAAGGATAGCTATTGATAGAAAATGAGGATAATCTCAAGAAAAATAGCTTTAGCTCAAAGGAACAGCAATAACCGGTATTCAGTGCTGGTGGGGTACAGTAAAATGAAGACAGTAACAAAATGTAGTAATACATGTAGTAAGGCAGCAAAGGTCTCTTTTGGAAAATAACTCCATGTCAATTTGTTTTTTTTGTTTTTTTTTTAATCTTTTTTTTTGAGACAGGGTCTCCCTGTAACACCATCTGGCCTGTAACTCACTATTTAGACCAGACTGGCCTGGAACTCACAGAGATTCTCTCGCCTCTGCCTCTGGAGTGCTGGGACTAAAGGTGTGAGCCACCACGCCCGGGCTCAGACATGTCTTTCTATAAATACATCAATTATTTTGATCATAAAAACACTCAAATTCATCGACTCAGATCACCTACTTCTAATCATTTAATTAATGCAAATACAATTTGTATAACATATGGAGAATCTTATTAGGACAACAATGTTTGTATTTTTGTCTAACACTAGGAAACTGAAACTAACCTGAAAATCAAAATTTAAGGACTGTTTAGGTAACTTATATTAATACACTCAATTACTATTTTGTAACAGGCAGTTCTACTCTATGGGAAAATGTGGGGCAGCTACTATCTACACAGGCATAGGAACGAAACAATTATAAAATCTAAATATTGAAAATAAAAGCTTTACAAATTCAGAGCAAGGAAAGATAAATGAAGGTAGTTTGTTCAGGGGCTAGACCTACAAATGATATTTTTACTTTCTCCATTTTTTATTTCTGATAATATTTGGTTATGAAAACACTTTAAAAGGAGGATGATTTCCAGCAAATTGTTTAAAATTGTTTAATTTTTAACATAGGAAAGTCAGTGTGCATTTTTTTTTTTGCTTATCCTCTTTCATTAAGCCAACTGGAGAACTAGACATCTTCCAGCTCAAGGAGGTATGGGCTTAATCTTCTTCCTCATTATCACCGGCTCCCGCACCACCCTGGCCCTTCTTGGCGTTCTTCCTCTTCACTGGGCCCCGGTGGCCGCACAATAACGGACCGGATGTTCACCACCTGTTTGAGGACCCTGATACGGCGTTGACAGATGAGCACTCTGGCATGGTGGATCAACTTGACCAGGCCTAGCTTAAAGACCTGGGTCTGCAGCCGCCTCTCCAAGAAATCTTCACTCTTCAGGCCCAGGATGTAATCCAGCTTCATCTTGCCCTCATCCAGCACCCCAATTCGAACAAGTTGCCGCAGCAGGGCATTGCCTTTAAAAAGCCCGCGTGGGTCCTTCACATCCAGCGTCAGCAGCTCCCAAGCAGCCTTGCGGATCTTGGCCAGAGTAAACTTGACCCTCCAGACCTCACGTTTGTTCCGAAGCCCATATTCGCAGATCAGCTTCAGCTCCTGATCCAGCCGCGACTTCTCAAACGGTCTCCACGGAAGTCACATAGTTTTTGCGACAAACCCAGTTCCTGGCAACCAGCATTCTTGCGTTACTTGCCAGCTCCTCGCTCACGACCCAGAAAGAGCCAACGTGCATTCTTAAAGGAATTTGCATCCCCAAAAGTTAAGTTTAAACTCAAAATACATATTTAACAAGCCAGATTTTGGAGAAAGGTGTAATTTTCCTCAATTAGCACAAGAAGTACATATACTTAAAAGGAAGCAAAACTGGGATTAAGCAAGCTGGAGAGAGATTTCAAAAGAAAGTTAAGTGTAAATAAACTGGCTAAAAATGTACACACCAGTTAATTAGAAAGCAACGTATTAAAAACAAAACAAAACACTGTCTTGGTACTCACAGGTATGCAATATTCCACCATAGGGTAATGTAGTTTGTGACCTTTTGCTGTTCGACCAGAAAAAAAGCAACTCTGGCAGACGTCATAGTTAAAATGCTTTAGACTTCTATACCTAGAGAGAAAAACAGATCGCTCATTGGCTCCTTTTCTTACTACTTAATTTTAATCAATCACTTATGGAATGGTGTTTCATTGGTTCATATGACCGAGTAAATAAAAGCTAGACTTGCTATAAATACAGAATTTTCTTAGTATCTCAGTCTCAAATTAGAAGTGACAATTTGTTCCAATGGCAGAACAAAATAATAAATTTTGGAATTGATTAACTGATTGACTGAAAAGGGTCCCAGATTGTAGAGAATAGAGACTTTGCTCGAAAGTTACTTTTTTATTTATACAATTATTTAAAGTCATTTTTAACAAATGTTTTATTTTTTCTTTATTCCTGAGAATTTCATCCAAGTATACAATGAAATGTAATAAACAGAGGTAAACATGTTTTAGAGACTTAAGTTCCACAAACTATGAAATGTAGACATATCACAGCTTTTGGAATTTAAGTCTCTAAAACATATTTACATCTATTTTGACATGATGAAAAGAAATATATCCACATCGGAAGGTTTTCTGTGATGTCTGAATCTAAACAGAAAGTGACAGAGAAAAGTTCTGACAATTAACTTGATACATCCAATTTTAAAACATCAATTATACTACTAATAAGAAATGAATCCTAAAATTTCTTCATAAGAGCACTGTTTTGGTCTAAAGTAGTCATTAGGAGAAAATTTATCACAATAACTACCCTGTAACCAAGAACAAGTTAAAGTCTCGATTATCACACAGTTTTGAAAAGTAATATTATTAAATCTCTCAAGTTTAAATATTATTTAAACTTCTATGGGGCCTGAGTGGAAAACAGTCACAAAATCTTCCATTCAGTTAAGCTGGTAGAACTAAGAAAGATATAATATATCCAGATCTGTATGGAAAACAATTTAAATGAAACTACCAGAGTGAAAATGTAAAGACAATGTAAAAGTTATGTGAAGCTAATATTATCAACTGTTAAGTGCTGAACAGCTCTAAAATGGCACGCAGTACTGTTTCCCAGGCGTTATAGAGATAACCTGTTTATACCACAGCCAACTTCTCATGGTCCTGGTTTGATACACTGCTTATACTAACAGTATCTCCAAGCCTATTAGCATGACTTGACAAATATGATTGACATCATCTCTTAGTGGACTCAAGTTTATTGCTGACAGCTCTTTTCCTTTTCTTCACTTGTGAGAAACTCTTGTACTGTCAGCACATTTTAGTAATGGGCTCTGCTAAAAATATTGTCACTCAGTATCTCTTGCTGATGGTGGTAAGCAGGGCAATCCACTATGAGATCTTGGGAGAGGGTTCCCACTGAGATTTTACAAAATTGACTCAACTGGGAAGAGGAACACTCTACCCTCCTTGGTGAGGATGGAATAGACATCCAAAAGGGCCATCTTGTTGGCATGAGGTCACCACAGAAATGCAAGTCGCAGGTTGGGGATAACAGAGTTACAATGACAGAACTAAAGATGCAGGTGAACTAAGGATTCAGGTAACCACGCAGCACCAATACCAGTCTTCAATCTTTGCACTTTGTTTATAAGAAAGGAAACTAAACCTCTCATTTATTTATGCTACTATTCAGTAGTTGTGTGTGGTTTTTAACTAAAACAATCCCCAGCTTAGCAAACATCCTGTAGACCTAAGATTTTGTTAAAATTCAATTTGAAAGTAATTAGTAGAAAACTCTAGCAGTTTTACAAAAGTTTAGCACATAGGACTGGAGAAATGACCTAGCAGTTAAAAGCACTTGCTGCTCTTCCAGAGGACCCCAGTTCAGTTCCCAGCACTCATGACCGGCAGTTCACAAATGCCTGTAACTTTAGCTCCGGGGAACCTACACCCTCTTCTGGCCTTCACAGGCACCTATGCATGCACACACACACACACACACACACACACACACACACACACACACACACAGAGACACACACACAGAGAATAGACTTTAGCAGCACTTTTAACGGACAAGTGAAAAGTAGGGTTGATCTGCCTCACAATAAACTTAGTGGCGGAGCTAACATGGAGTAATCTGATGACTATGCAGTTAGTATTTAAATGCTGCTTTCTCCTTACTAAGTTTGATCCAAAGACCTGAAACAGCCAACAAATTCTATCAAGACTGTATGTTCATAATCTATCATGTAATTATCCAGCATAAACATTCCTTTGAGCTCATTAAATAGACATTCACAAAAATTTCTGGTTCCGGACCAATGCAGTATAAATAATGCTAACAAAAATAAGTGTGCATTTAGGTGGTAAGAGGGAATGCCACTTTAGATGGATGGACAATGCTGGACATGTACTCAGGAGGCAAACCCTAAGACAGGAATAGGGAGCGGTGACAAGCAGCAGACCCCAAGATTCCACAAGGAAGGCAGAAAGCTGGAGTATCACCACACAGTGCGTCTTACCTGAACCCAACAATTGGACATTCTTTGCAGATGTTGCATTTGGCCTGATGTTTTGCAGTCTCAGCAGCTGCCACGCGATGTAGGACAGGCAGCCAAACCATGGACTGTGGCTCCAAACGCATCCAGTCTATAAACTCCTTCACACTGATCTCTGGCTTGTTGTTATTCTGGGGAGGAGACAAATGTATTACAAGTGAGGAACTTCTCTTTCAGGTTGCAGCAAGTGGTGCTGCTTCATAACCTTCTGAAATCAATGAACAGGAAGTTATGAAAGTCTTCCCAGTTCAGTGAAGTCATCAATCTTTTAAGGTTCTTCAGGCAAGAAAATTCAAGAAATTAAAATTTTAATTAAAAATTTACAAACTGTAGCCAAACATGGTAGTGCATGCCGTTAGTACCAGCACTAGGGAGGTAGAGGCAGGCAGATCTCTGTGAGATCGAGGCCAGAGGCCAGCCTAGCCTACATATCAAGTTTTAGACCAGCTGCGGCTACCGGGAGACCCTGTCTACAAACAACAACAACACAAAAATTAGAACCCCACCCCCAAAAACAAACCTTTAAAAAACTACTTTTCTTTTCTTTTTTTTCTTTCTTATTGTTTTGTTTTTGTTTTAAAGCAGGGTCTCCTTGAAGCTCCAGCTGGGCTAGAATCCACTACACAGACCAGGCTGGCCCACCATCTCAGAGATCTACCTACTTCTGCTTCTAGAGTGCAAGGGATTAAAGGCACACACCACCATACCCAGCCAAAAACCATTTTTGTTTCTAATTCCATTTTGTTAATTTTTTATTGGTTTGTTGTTGTTTGAGATAGGGTCTTACTACGTAGTTCTGACTTTAATTCTATAAAACTCATTTATCTAAGATGGTAAATACATGAAGGTAAAGACTCCCAGATAAGCTCACAAACCTGAAGGTTTTAGGCATACTACACAAAAGCTGTGACCACAGTGTTCCCTCCACCTACCACACCCGCACACTGACAGGAGACCACTGTGAATATACGCTGCAGGATACTACAGTGTTCTCTCCACCTACCACACCCGCACACTGACAGGAGACCACTGTGAATATACGCTGCAGGATACTACAGTGTTCTCTCCACCTACCACACCCGCACACTGACAGGAGACCACTGTGAATATACGCTGCAGGATACTACAGTGTTCTCTCCACCTACCACACCCGCACACTGACAGGAGACCACTGTGAATATACGCTGCAGGATACTACAGTGTTCTCTCCACCTAGCACACCCGCACACTGACAGGAGACCACTGTGAATATACGCTGCAGGATACTACAGTGTTCTCTCCACCTAGCACACCCGCACACTGACAGGAGACCACTGTGAATATACGCTGCAGGATACTACAGTGTTCTCTCCACCTAGCACACCCGCACACTGACAGGAGACCACTGTGAATATACGCTGCAGGATACTACAGTGTTCTCTCCACCTAGCACACCCGCACACTGACAGGAGACCACTGTGAATATACGCTGCAGGATACTACAGTGTTCTCTCCACCTAGCACACCCGCACACTGACAGGAGACCACTGTGAATATACGCTGCAGGATACTACAGTGTTCTCTCCACCTAGCACACCCGCACACTGACAGGAGACCACTGTGAATATACGCTGCAGGATACTACAGTGTTCTCTCCACCTAGCACACCCGCACACTGACAGGAGACCACTGTGAATATACGCTGCAGGATACTACAGTGTTCTCTCCACCTAGCACACCCGCACACTGACAGGAGACCACTGTGAATATACGCTGCAGGATACTACAGTGTTCTCTCCACCTAGCACACCCGCACACTGACAGGAGACCACTGTGAATATACGCTGCAGGATACTACAGTGTTCTCTCCACCTAGCACACCCGCACACTGACAGGAGACCACTGTGAATATACGCTGCAGGATACTACAGTGTTCTCTCCACCTAGCACACCCGCACACTGACAGGAGACCACTGTGAATATACGCTGCAGGATACTACAGTGTTCTCTCCACCTAGCACACCCGCACACTGACAGGAGACCACTGTGAATATACGCTGCAGGATACTACAGTGTTCTCTCCACCTAGCACACCCGCACACTGACAGGAGACCACTGTGAATATACGCTGCAGGATACTACAGTGTTCTCTCCACCTAGCACACCCGCACACTGACAGGAGACCACTGTGAATACACGCTGCAGGATACTACAGTGTTCTCTCCACCTACCACACCCGCACACTGACAGGAGACCACTGTGAATACACGCTGCAGGATACTACAGTGTTCTCTCCACCTACCACACCCGCACACTGACAGGAGACCACTGTGAATACACGCTGCAGGATACTACAGTGTTCTCTCCACCTATCACACCAGCACACTGACAGGAGACCACTGTGAATACACGCTGCAGGGTACTACATAGTGTTCCCTTCACCTATCACACCAGCACACTGACAGGAGACCACTGTGAATACACGCTGCAGGATCTCCAAGTCTATCATGATAAATCACAGGAGACACTGCTGGGCTTCTTTGAATCCTAATTCTGAGCGACTTTTGTGTGTGTAGAGTTACATTTCACTAACAATATTATCCCACTGTGGTTGAGGTCACTGTACACCAACATGTGTGAGTGTGACTATAAATCATATTTAGAAAAATCATTTGATTTTTTTTACTTCTAAAATAAGAAAAGGGGCCATTATAAAATGTAATAACCCATGACATTGATTTTCATCAAAGATAGTGTTTGAGCATTTTTTTTCCTCAGCAGTGATAAATCATTGGCCAGGCTTTAGAAAAACATCTGTAGGCTTGTACTGTATGTGTATGTATGCCACTGATACATTTACAAATGTGTTTATGCACAATAAGCTTTTAAAAGAAAATGAAGTTCTTGCCCAGGTAGAAATTAGTAACCTAGATCTGTACAAAACTTTGTACCTTATTCAATACTTCCTGTATGTATACTCTTGAAGAAAAGATGCTACTGATTTAATATTTTCATGTTTTTTAAAAATCTTGCCTGCAAAGAATATTAGGGCATTTTATTTATTTATTTTGCAAACGTTTATTAAAGTAGATACAAGTTTCAAGGTATTGTACAGGGATGTGCTACCATCAGAATGTTTGTTCTTTTGAAATTCACGGATTGACAATCTCCAAGTGGATGAAACTAGGAGACAGGGCCTTTGGAGGTTGATTAGGTCATGAGGATGAAGTGCTCATGGATAGGAACAGTAACCTTGTAAAAGGGGCCAAGGAGCTCCCTCCCTCCTCCTTTCATTAGATGAGGGCTCTGACAAGGATGTGTGGCGGGAAAACCTTCCCTCACCAGACACCAAACCTTAAGGAAGAAGCAAACACTAAATCAATTTTACACAATTCAGAAGGACATCTTAACTGCAAAGAACAGAGAAGGAAAATGTGAGGGTGTGAAGGGGAACAAGAGTCCTTCTCTGATGAGATCGGAGATGTCCAGAGGACTTGAGAGCTAAGCCAACATGTAAAGATAGAACAGAGATGTGCGAGAAGGGAGTCTGTTTGGAAGGAAGGAAAGCATTCTAAACAGATGACACAGGAGGCAGGAATCAAGAAACTGAGTCATTACCATGGAAGATAGAGAGGGAGGGGATGTGTGGCAGGAGATGAGGACAGCGTAGGGGAGGGCCAGACACTGCAATTCAATTCATAATTCCTGAAAAAAATGTCTCTTTTCAGGTTTCGCTGTTCCTTGAATCAAATGTGCCTTAGGAAATAAAATACAAACTTTGAGGATTGTTACCCCAATCCTCCAGCATTTGGTTCCAGTCCAAGCTCCTGATTCCTTTCCTGGGAACTTCTTTACATTCCTTTCCCAACACATCTGATCCACCAGTGACCTCTTGCTTACCTGTTGGAAGCAGCTGCGAACACTGGGCTCAATGTTACTGCCCCCGAAAGCTGCTACTTCCCCCAGCTGCCGAGGGATCTGGATGGCATCGTGAAGCAACAGGCCGAGCTGCCTTTGGTCACACATCTCCGTTGGTCCTGCCACCTCCTTGAAGAGATCTACAGGAGGGAGAAAAAAGATGCTACTATCTATCTACTCCAAGTGTTCTTGCTTAAAGGATTGTTAGCAATATGGGTTGGACTATGCAAACTTGGGAAAAAAAAGAAAAGTAACTTGGAGGGATATGGATCAGATTAGTTGCCTGTTCTGAGGATCTTAATCTGATATCTGTAATCAGAAACAGGTTAACCCATGTTTCCTAAAATAGTCTAATGTTTAGGTCAATACGTATAATCAGATCAACTAATACAAAATTCTTTTAAAAATACTACAGTAAGTACACATTGGCTAATTTTATGGTCTCAATAGGAGATCCCCTTAAGAAAGAGAATGAAAACAAAGCTTCTCTCATGTAGCTTATACCTTTAAATATTAATGATGGATTTATCAATTTTCTGTGTTCACTCAAATGCAATATTCTATGAACATATCTTCTTTGGAGTATTTATACATTCAAATCTTTTATATAGTAAACACTAAAAATATAAGGAGCTATAGTTTTTCATTTTAGGGCCTTACTAGTTGGTTTTTTTTTTTTTAAATTCCATGTAATGGACACTTTAAATTTTTGTGTATCCTTTACCTTTTGCTTTTTTATGCATAAACAAAACAAGCCCTGATTTGTTTTCCAACTTCCTTAAATCAACAAAATTAAAGCTCATCTTTATACAGTCTGAGTCTGTCTTCTATTCACTATTAGAAGTGAATGTTAGAGGGACTGCAGGGATTACAGGGTTCCCAGTGCAGGAGCTAAGATAGTAAGAGAACTCTTTGAACAAGGAAAAACAGCAAATAAAAAACAATCTACTTGTTTACAGATATTAATACTGTTTGGGCTTTTAAATTTCTAAAACTTCCAGAGCACATGCTATCTAAATGCTTACCACAGAAAGCTAAGACTAGA